AAGGACAGCCGTACAGGAAGGAAATGATGCCTTCAGGCCACGCCATTTTATCTAGCAGTTGGGTGGCAGAAACTGGGACCAAATGAAACTGGTGGAGGTGTTTGGTCCAGAAGAAGTTTTTGGGTAAAAAAAATAAATGCTTGAATGATGATCAATGGACAAAACACACAGAATAGGCAGCGAGGCACTTAAAATAATAAGGAGGGTGAAAAAGGACCCTGGAGATGGTGGAGAGAAGTTTACTATCCAGGGAACGGGATGGCAAATTCCTTTCCACCCTGCCCAGTGACAGCCAACGCTCCCAACACTGCACATGTTCACCGCTTGTGTCTTTGCTGTTAGCAGGTCATGAGGAAATTGCTTTAAAGTATTTCTTGGAGAGATTTAAAATTTTGGCTGGGTTTCAAGCCTAATATCAAAATGAGTTATTTTATTAAAAGCTTTTAAATAGAAGCTACAGAGTAGTCAGTAACAGGAGGGCTATTTTAGAAGGAATTTGCTATAAACCTCTTCTACTGCACAGAAGCTTTCTAAAATATTACCTTGTAAAAAATATAATTCTCTTTATCTGCAATTTAATTACATTTCCCATAGTGCCTGTGTCAACACAGTTCACTTATTTTTGTTCTCTATTAGCTCACAGCTGGCCTAGGAAACTAGAAGAAAAAACTGTTGCTCTTCAGAGTCATTTGTGGGTTGCTCCAGGATCTCAGCGAGGTCATGAAAGGCTGTACTGATGTACTGGAGAAATCGGGACTGGGGTCTCTGTCCATACTGGTGGTGGCTGTGAGATGGCAATACATAAAACTGGTATAAAAGCAGGAGGAGGAGCAGGAGCGCTCATGGGGTCCTCTGATCTATCCCATCCCGAGTTAGTGGATCAGAGTTCTTGATCTATTTGAGACTGCAGCAAAGTCCGGTTATCTGAATAATGCACCAGAATTATTTAGAGTTTTGTTGTTTGAACGTTTTGTTGACCTCTCCTACCCTACAATGTCTGTGTGTGTAAATGAGATCTGAGGGATGTCCTGGAAATACTACGAAAACGTTGTCACTTGTGACATCCTGCAGTTGCCCAGAGAGAACCGGGAAGCGTGGAAATGCATTAAACCAAAAATGACATGTTCGAAGTTAAACCCTTGGTGATGTTGTATTAAATTTGGCTTGGGTTTGGGGCAAGGGCTGAAGCTGACTGTTATTTAACTTGAACAAACCAGCCTGTTATACTAGAGGCATAAGATGAACCTCAACCTTTGATCTTGGCTGAGAGGAGATTGTATCAGCCACAGCGTTTTTTCAGTGCTTGTCTTCTGATAACCGGAGACACGATTAATCCGAGTCAGGATGACTCGTGGGGGCTTCGCGATGGGAGGATGAGAACAAGGCAAATATTTCCTTGCCAAGTTGAGCTGTGAAGGAGGGGATCCAAGACAATGGAGAGCTGGGATCACTGCTGCAGCTCTACTAACGCCGGTGTTTTCGTAGTAAGTTTTGCAGGATTCTGTCTTTCCCCAGGGATGTGGCCTGGTGATAATGTGCTATCTCCAGATGTGCTTTCTGCTAATAGCACCAGGATGGCAGGCCCAGCAGCGTTTTAGCAGAGAAGAGGCAGGTGACTACAAGTTTCCAGGAAAAAGGCAATGACTTGTTTAACTGCAGAGGACTTTTTAATTATTGGGGTTTTTTTTCCAGTCAATCAACTTTGTCAGGATCAAAAAAAGCAATGGAGAGCCCATGGCTTGAGCTCTCAGCGAGTCCGTGACCTACATTGGTGCCTGCGTGACACACAGGTGTTGTTACTGATGGCTGAGCTAAGCCCAGAGCTGGGTGGCAGTGCTGCAGCCCCACCGTGTCGGTGCTGTGGGTTAGGTTGCTAAGAGTCATTGAGGTGCACTGGACACCCCATATACGTCCTCTGGAGGATGGAGGTGTGGGTGCAGGAGAGAAAAGGGAATCGGAGCCTGTACCGTGGGGCGAGCGCACCAAGGGAGGTTGCAGGGGTGCTGCTGTGGGGCAGGGAGCAAGCAGGACTGCACACGTCGGGTGAGAGAAGGGGAGATGGATGAAAGGGATCAGTCACATCACTGACTTGCCGGGTGGATTTTTTTTCTCCTGTCATCCCATGCCCTGCTAGAAGGTGCTCCCCTGCCTGTTAACGATTTTATTTGGCCCTGCTGACACCTGGGCTCTTTAATTAAACTCTCCAGTCCCTTCTGTCTGTGGCAACTCCTGATGATGTGTGATCGGAGGGCAGCAACCTTCCCTAAACCTCAGAGGAGCCGATTAAAACGATGCAGGCGGATGCTTTAATCCAACATACCGAGGGTGACAACAGCGAGCGCTTTCGCAGGCATCCCCCCCCTCCCCGCCCCCAGATGCTCCCTGCCAGCCTTTGGCATCCGTCGCCCGTGCGGAGCAGTCCCCCATCTCCAACGGGGGAAAAGCTGGGGTTTTGCTGCCAGGTGGGTGAGAAGAGGGATGCGGGGAAATGTGCTGATCTGGTGGGCTCCTCGGCAGTGCCACCGATGAGCGGT